TTATGACAGCGTGACACCACTACAGACCAAAGAGACAGACTGTTAACTAATTTACTAGCTTTACTGTCAAAGGAGGAACAAAGAGGAGCTGTGTTTGTGTGTAATGACTTAGGGATAGGGTTGCAGTTGTTATGTTAGGTTCTTTATTATGCAAAATTGACTCTTGTGAGCTCTAAGCCATGTTATAATGTTGTTCTCATTAAAAACATAACTAGAGTTTTGTTTTATTCACACATGTTTGAGTAATTCTTTATTATTTTGTCTGTCTACATCTCCAAAGTTCATGATGCAGCAGTTTTAAAGTTAACAGCTACCTTTTATGTTTAGTTAAGTAAAAATTGAAAATTCCAGGGCTGAAATTATCCAAATAATTCCAGTGAAGGTGTATGGAGTATAAAAACATGATGATAAGATGATGGAAATAACATTATAACACACTGTATATCAGAAAACAGTGTAGTATGGATCCTTTAACATTGTTGTTATGGAAAGTTTATGCTGATAGATCAATTGTAATGACACTAATGATAAATGAAATAAAAATAAATGTACTTTCCTACTTCACCTGCATGTTGCTGACAGCCACTCAGTGTAACCTTCATAATCTCTCTCCACATGGGTTTTCAGAGTCATGGAAAATTTACAGTAGTTGCCATAGCAATTAATGCACAAGAAATGTAAAAATAAGATCAACTTGAATGCTAAAAAAAAATCACAGTAAGGCATCTGTAAAACAGGAACATGAACTGCAGCTGCAACCCTCCTTTGCATAGAAGTAGCAAGGGGTATTATCCTCCCCACTGGCTGCACATAAGCAAAAAAAAAAAAGAAAAAAGTGCACTATGTAACATTTTGGTTAGGGATCCATCACCATACACCTTCACTAGAATCATTTAGATTATTTCAGCCCTGGAACTGCGTTTACTGAACAAAAGATAAAACGTAAAATGTAGATGATAAATAAAAGAAATCACAATGTGGACCAGAGCATTTTGAGCTTTGGAGATGTAGACAGAATAATAATGAGGATTACGCAAACATGTGTGAATGAAACAAAAGACAACTCTAGGTATGTTTTTGATGAGGTGACAACATTCTAACATGACTTAAAGCTCACATGAGTCAGTTTTGCATAATATAGGACCTTTAAAGACTGGTTAAAACAGGTCTCCCCACTGTGAGTACTTGAATGGACAGTAAACTGCTTGAACCCGTCTTTTTCTAGTGGAGGCAGACAGGTGGCCTTGAGTCTGTTTTCTGCTCCATTAGCTCTCCGCACACAAAGCTTTTATAGGCATCAGCAGCTTGACCAATCAGCATGTATACAACTGCTCCTACCGTCAGCGCACCAATCAATACAAGCTTGTTTATTTCACTTTGAATCATGCTGAAGATCCCTCCACCAATGATCTGATGAGTGCGAGCAGCTTGGTAATACAAACTGTGGTTGCCAGTTCCCTTAGTGCTGAGATAAGGCTGTGCAAATGCTTATAATATTGCAATACTAAATTTGCCAATATTATACCAATATTAAATAAACATCATCATTATTTAGTATTTTTTGGTATATTTTACTAGGCGACAATTACTATGTCATCTTATTATTAAGCTTAATATATAAAAGCTGGAGCCATACATTTTGGGGCTCATTTATTGTTGTGTGCGTAATTTCTTTGCAAACACGGGGAGATTTCTGTTAATTTTATGTAAGATTTAAGATTTACAGGGTAGAATAAATAATAATGATTGTTGATTTAAAGGTGCACTATGTAATTTTTTCAGTGGGGGTCTGTCACCTGCTGGTTTCTATGGAAATGTCACTGATCTACTTGGAATGTTCCACAGTATGACTTTAAACAGCTCAACCACATTTATTGATTTACAGGTGATTTATAGCTCAAATATATGTAGAAAAACATGCATTCTGAATGTGAGCAGGGTCGCCTCTCCACAGATCTGACCTATAATATGGTCTGGTTTGGTCTCCACTGAAGACAGAAAGGTTTAATAGCATACTGTGAAACTTTCCAGACAAAGCAATAACATCTTCATGAAGAAAAGCATTTGACGGACCCTCCACCAGAAAAGTTACTCAATGCACCTTTAACCAAAAGAAAGAAGTCACTGGTCATCTTTGTTTCAAAACACTAAAAATTCCATGAAACTGCCAACACGTGCCCTCTGAGCAGACTGGAGCCCGAGACTGTGGGTTCAGAGGCAGGACAGAGCCGAGGACTACAGCCTTGTAAGGAAGGAGAGGAGATTGTGTAAATACAACTCACACAGACGCACACAGACACACACTCGGCCAACCCTGGGTGCTGGGGTTACACACACAATGGACCCCCTCAACAAGAGCCAAACTGTGGGATTATGAGCCTTTTCATTTGGACAGTCACACAAACAAAATGGGATGTGGATTTTTATGATTCTAGTATTTTGACGGAAACTGCAAAGGTGAACTGTGGAGCTTCAAGTGTAGAGGTTTGCCATCTGCTTGTCGTAATGGAGGCATATTTTGAAGTGAAAAGCGCCTACAATTTAATTAATGCAGTTATTGTACATGTATATATATTTCAATTACTTCAGTCGCCTTCCACTATTACTGCAATATGTAAATCTAATGTATACTAGTATATGCAATTCTGATTCTGGACTGTTTTTGGCATTTCAAATTTTTTCATAACTTATTGGCCAATTTAAAAGACAATTTTAATCTTATCACTACGGTTGTGCAAAAATACTGAAATATCGATATATAGTATAATTTAATGTAATGATACAGCATCGATATCGTGGGTTGCTGAATCGATATATCGCCAAGAGTATTTTTTTTAATATATTTTACTAAATTATTTTGTTACAGCCACAGTTTTGTTTCTTGTTCAGAGAAAGGAAACTCGTTCATGCAACACATTTGACATTCTTACTGTTTTTGATGATTAAAATGGGTGTGTTTTGTGTTCACTTTGCCAAGTAGTGGTTTAACAAACTTTTAGTGTCACAGCCATGATTTAGCCTTTATTTTTTTATTGAACTGTATTGAATTGATTTGAAATATATGGTATTGAATTGTATCGAATCGTAAGATCACTGTATCATATCGTATCGTGGCTTATGTATGGAGGTATGTATCGTATCGGCAACTTCAGAATGATACCCAGCCCTACTTAGCACTAGTTTTAATTTGGTGGACAAGACTACTTAGACTACTTCTTTTAAAATTATATAATTACAGTACTGTCTATAGTACTGTCTCTGTACTGTCTAATATAAAGGCCAAAGTAAATGGAGGTCCATTAGCTTCGACAAGAAAAGGATGACCCTTGAGGATTAAGCGTCCCAAATACCATCACACTCTGAAGTCACAGCCTGGGTACTGTCTGCATTCATTTAATATTTCAGACTTACCACACACAGCTCTGTATCTCTGTGCGGTTCCAAAATCTAAGAGAGCCTCAGACACAAAAAGTGATACAAATAAATAAGTGGGTTAGGAGAGCTTAATCAGGAGTAAATTTAGAACAAAAAAGGCTACTGAGGGCCCATTCATGTAGCAAACATAATTATGATGATGAGGGGTTGACAATGAAAGCTTTATTTTATTTTTAAAGGTCCTATATTACGCAAAACTCACTATTGCATCTTAGTCTACTTCTTTACACAGTTTAAGATCCTGACTTAAGTACAACCAACATTACTAAGATAAGATAATTAATCTTTTGGCAACTCATCTATGACAACTTAAATTAATGCATGCAAGGTCAGTCTAGTCTCCTCAGTGACGTAAGAGGAGTAAGAAGAAAGAAAGGGAAGCTACTGCATACGAGAGGTGACTTTGATTTATCAAAACACATCTTAGAGAATATATCTTGCCTTTCCTACACAAGTATCTTTTCAATCTTATGTTCACGCATTGTCCGCCCAAACAAAAAGACTTGGCATTTCCTCAGAGCTTGTCAAAGATGGCACCTCCATCAGTGTGACCACTGGGCTGATCGATTGTGTGTGAGCCTAAGGGAGTTGGTAAATCTCTTGGCAGGATTCACAGTAGGTGGTAGACAGAACAAGCAGTCAAGACGTCAGTATAAATGTCACGGCAGCACTGGGATAACAGGAGGCTCAAGTTGGTTATGTCACTGACTTATGGGGACGTCATTACAACACCAAGCCTCATTATCAAGCGGGCGTTTTTTGTTTAAAGGTCTTTGTTGTTTGTTAATGACACACAGAACTTACCTTTAACTGCACCACTATAAACCACTTTTTTTTTTTTCTTTTTTTTTTACAGCATTTTGAGATGTTAATAAAGGAGAAAAAAACAATGCCCTCAACATTCAACATTTAAGCAACATTATTAATAATTTAATACATTACCCACCTGCAATCACAGTAAAAAGTGTCCAGTAAAATGTAGGGATGTAACAATAACCAAAATATTGTGATGTCATATGGTCAAAAGCCTCTCAATAATATCGTGGGCCATCACCACATATTGAATTACAAGTCTCTTTGCCTAGAGTAACAGTCATGGTGCCGCAGTAGCTAAAAAAACAGAACTCTACTTAGACATGATCCTCTGCTTTGTTTCAGCGCAGACTACATAAAGAAATACCGTATTTTTTTGGACTAAGACGCACTTAAAATCCTTTAATGTTCTCAAAAATCGACAATGCACCTTAATGGTGCTCCTTCTGTATGAAAATAAATGAGAGAATAAAACATTATTGATATTGCGCCTTATAATCCGGTGAGCCTCGTAGTCTGAAAAATACGGTATTTATAAGCACCTTGACAGGCATATGGTGAAAATATAATGAAAAGAGATTTGAATAATGTTACATCTCTAGTAAAATGGTGCTTTAATACACTGACTGGACAAAACCCTTAACCCTTACTCAAAAACTAATACTACTATAGTATTTTTTTCTGAATTAACCCAACACACTCATCTTCAGTCATGTACCTTTAAAATAAGTAATAACTTTGCCATTACTCACCGATCTGCAGCAGCACAGGTGTGACCAGCGCCGTCTCCATGGCGTAGCAGAACTCTCGGCCGAACATGACCGCTCCATGCATCACCCATCTCTTCAGCGGGATGCCCTCTATAGACCCCTCGCTCTCCGACTCCCCTTCCCCCGCCGGTGCTGCGCTTCCTCCCGATCCATTTGCCTCTCCCGCTTCGCCCTTTTCCTCGTCCACGTTCACCACCGTTGAGTTTTTATTTCCGTTGACCACCAGAGACCCGACCTGCATGGCTTCAGCCTCTGTGTTCTGTGGAGGCATCCTGCAGGGCATGCACGCTGAAGAAATCAAACGCACCCTCCTGATCTATCTCTCAATGAAAATAGCAATACTACAAGCTATGTAAAGTCTTCGTAGTAGCAGGAAGTAGCAATAACAACACTAGGTAATAGCAGTTCAAGCTAAATTACTGGTATGAGAACAAAACATGTAACAAAATCAGAGCTTTACAAACTTATGTCCTGTCCTGTGAGGTAATAAAATTGTCTGAATTTGCTAAACTAGAAGGCGGTGGACATAATTTTAAAAACAATAATAACACTACTTTGTGCAGATCTGCATTGATTCAAAACTAGCTAATGTAACAGGCTAATCTTCAAGAAATAAAGAGCTTTTTTTAACATAGATCCCCCAAAAACGAAGGAAGCAGTTGTATTTTCACAGGAAGATTGCACAATACATTCCAATAGTGTGCATTTGAGTGAGCTCCTGGAAAGTTGTCAGCTTAGGTTTTGGATTTGTGTATGTTAAAGTCTGTACAATGGCTGTATGGTGCATGTATGCAGTATGTAGTTAGGTGTAAAAGTGAAAAATTATGGCTTTTCAGTCATTTGAGGTCCACCCTCAGTTTGGTTTACTGTCTATTAGAAGCAGTAAAAATCCATATAGAAGACCATTCGGTGAGTTCAAGAGTCATTTTTACTAAACAGGGCTCGAAGAGGGCGTGGAGGGAGGAGGGGGGAGGTGGAGCGGGGCGGGCGGTGCAGGTGGGCGGAGCTCCTCTGAAAATCCCCATCGATTGGCTGATCAGTCTGGAGGCGGGACGACAGGAGGACGACGTGGGCCACGAAGGAGATGCCCAGTGGTACAGTAGTATATGGGGACATGGAGAGAAAAAAAGAAAAAAAATAACAAGTGAGTCACTGCAATTAAACTTTCAGACGGCTACCTTCAATATGCCATATATAAACGTGTTTGGACCACATAGCCGGCGTAGTGTACGTCAGTGGGGCTAAAAGCATGGCACTAAGATGTATACTGAATCTTTTAAGTGTCCTGATGGCATAACGCAAATGCTGGAAGACGATGTTCTTATATCTGAAGTTCTAACTTTGGTTTTCCATTTGCAAAAATGTCTTAAGAAGTTCTGAGTGAATTTTGCTGTATGTTATATTTGGATAGAACATTATACTGAATAAACCAACTGTGTGATGTGAAAGAGGCTACAGTTTTGCTGAGGTCTATGTTTTGTATTTTATGTATTTTCTGAGTACTTTTAGACTATATTGAAATTCACCTTGCTCTATGTTACTGGCGACAGAAGCTAAAATTTTTACACACAATGCAACATTGTCAGTTATTGTATCAGGTTTAGACATTCTGATTTGCATTAAAGGGCTCATATTAAGCTGTTTTCTGATCTATATTATAATGTTGTTTCCTTATCACAAACATACCTGGAGCTGTGTTTACTTTCATTCACACATGTTTAAACACACAAACCCTGCATATTTAGGATGAGTTCTTCTCTCAAACGAAAACTCAGACTCTATTCCACCTTGTGATGTCATGGGCTAATACAGGAAGTGTTCCCCTTTTATTTTAAAATCCATACACCTTCACCAGAATCATTTGAATGATTTCAGCACAACAAATATAAAAGATGGTTACTAACATGAAAACTACTGCTTCATGACATCACAAGGTGGAACAGAGCAATTTGAGGTTTGGAGATGTAGACAGATTAATAATAAAGTGTTACTCAAACATATGCATTAGCCTAGCATATTTTCCTCAACAAAGATTCTCTATAAAAAGTCTTGATTTGAGAAATTATCTTACCCTCATTGTTATTCTCGTCATACCTCATTATACCTTGTTTATAGTTACAAATCCTTGTGAAAAAGTCTTATTTGAAATCCGTTTTCGTGAAATCCTGTCTAAATAGACAAACAGATTCAATACAATGTAATATTTCATTGCTGCAAACAGCCCTTTCTTGTTGATCTTTAACATGTGCAGCGTCTCTTGGTGCAGACACATGTGTTAGTATATTCGGCTATGAAAAGGCCCCATTTGCAGAGACAGTAATTGGCTGAGCACATGATTCACTCTCTTTCACACACACACATTTGAGCACCACTCTCTGAAAAACCAGACGGCGAGATAAAAGCCAGCAATGCGTTTTAAAGCTTTTTAGAACTGTACTAAGCTGCAGAACAGAAGAGTAGTGTGCGGAGACCTTGAGTGAACAAGTGGGCCCATACAAAACATCGCATACTAGCTGCTCAGTACGGCATTTCAACTGGAATTCCTCTGTTTCTTTGCAGTGGCCCTGGTGGATTATAAGCACTGGGGACAGCACGTTTCATCACAACCAATACTAGCTAATGCCCAACACGTGAACAATAACATTAGCAGTAATCTTCCATCAAGAATCTGAAAAAAGAGGTGAAAGTACTGCAGTTAAAATATGCAGACATACAGTTACTGCACAATATTAAACAAATACAAGTATCAAACTAGAGGTGCACAGATTATAGAAATAAACATATTGTGAATGTCATTTTGAAGATGGAAAAAGTTACAAATAACGGTACAATAAAGTGAAGTTTCAGAGTCATTTTACAATTGTCTGCTACTTAGACCTCATTTAACTTAGACTTGTCACGATTACAAATTTTGAAGTACGATATATTGCTGAAGTAAATAAAGACGATAAACAGTAATATTGAAACTAATTTATGCCACTGACAGAATAAACCTAAAGCAGAATTAGCTCAAGCTCAACAAGCTATTCTAAAATGTATAATAGGGTTGAAAAAAAAACATGAACTGCAATAAATAAATATCTGAATTAATATCTGTGTAACTTGTTGGGTGGAGGGGCTGTCACCTGCTTCTCTTCATAGAGATGTGGCTAGAATGTTCCACAGTATGGCCATAAACCTCTGAATCACCATGGAGACTTGCCAAACAAATTACAAGTTAAATTTGTGGATAGGCAACCTTGCTCAAAAAAAGAATGGATGTTTTAAAGATATTTCTGGGCTTTAAATAACACATGTAATTGAATAAATGCAAGGCAGACTTAATGCCATACTGTGGACAATTTAAGCTAAAGCATTAACATCTCCATGGTGGCCCTCTCCAGAAAAGTTACATAATGCAATTTTAAGTAATAAGTTTGTGTCTATAATAAGTCATAGAAGTTATGTACTTAACCCCCTATAGCTCAAATCTTATTGTAATACAGAAAAATCATATATTTTTTTATAATAAGCAGTAAATATCATTGTTTTGATGAGCTGGTCAGACTGGTAAGAGTTTATGTTATGACTAAGCAATGAAAAAGTGAGGTTGCCTTAGAAAAATGTCATTAAAAAAACACTTCTAAAATAAAAGCAATGCAGCTTTAGTCCATGCATGAGGTAATATTACAAAATGTTTATTTGTAATTCCAAATTGTCTTAAATGGGCAGTCAGAGTCAACCAAACATGTACAATGCCCAGGTCTGGTATAGTATATAATTATTTTCGACAGGCCTAATTAATTGATGTATTTTAACACATTTCTATTGGCTTGACATAATATCGTCTGATTATTGTTGCTGGGATAGTCCAAACATACCATGATATGAATTTGTCAATATTTTCCACCCAAGTTGATATGAATCATTTTAAACAGAGTGAAGAAAAACAAACCAGCAAAATAGGAATTATAGGTTTCTATTTTGATACCTTTCTCATGTCTATTAATATTCAGGAAGCGCTCAAGATGGTCATGAATATTTGATCTGGGCCCGCAGCCAAACGCCCCCTCCTCTCCACGGCTCGCACTGCAGTAGATTACATAACACAGTCCCCTTACAGTGCACACACACACACACAAATCTACTAGGTTTTAATTAGCTTTTGATTACAGCCCCACCACAAACCACTGCAAGTATTTCTGACCCAAAACAGCCCCAAAGTGACATAAGCAAACAATAAGTGGTTAAATAGAAGGGTATTATGAGCAGGGTGGAGATAGTTTTGTGTGTTATGCTTGGGTCTTAAAGGCTGTACCCGATTTTTTTTTCCGAAAAAGTCGAGTTAAATTAGTTTTGCAGAGGTAAAAGCAGCTGTTGTTGTCTAAATCCAAACAGCCTTATTGTCAGGGAATCAGGGAGTGCACTGTTAGCATGCTAGTTGTTTGCAAAACTCTGCTCTGGCATCTGAAAGTTGGGAAAGTTGGAAAAGTGCTTATAAACTCATTGCAGAGAATGGCTACAGTAGAATGCCAGGAATATGTCAGCAAAGTGAGGAATAACTAGGCCACTGCTGTTAAAATAAACAAGTGCTGTATTTAAAAATCAACGAGCAACGCCTTTAAATACTTTTTATTTTTTATGGTTACACAAAGAGTAATCTTTTTTTTTTTATCCCACCTTCATCTGCCCTTAATTGTTAGCCCAGAATCCCACACACAGTCCTGAAAGTTAAATGAATGCTATCTGATTTTGTACAGTTGTAGTCCGCATTGTTAGCTGTGCCATTGTTCCTGCTGTTTGTGGGTAACCTGAGCTACAGTTGTACAGAGTTACACTTCCAGCTTTTTCACTGACATACACACGGGCGGACTCACGTGAGGAGACATGGGGAGCAGAGGAAAGATGAGGACAAGACCTAAGACCTGGGGTTAGCGAGCCCTGGGGGGGGTGTCCAAATGTGGTATTAGTAACGCATGAAATATGTTAGACCTGGATTTAGGACACATAAAGACTAGCTGGATATCTAGTTGTATATTATGAAGTTGGAATAGGGATCTCAGACCTTATTTATGATTGCTTTTTTTTATAGCTGACAAATATCAATGAGTTGTCTATGTCTACTAACTGTTGTGCAATGTTTATTTCAACACAGGTCTACAATTTTTCAAAACGTTCAAGCTGAGCGAGTTCAGAACCGCTCTAACAAGCTCCAGTGTGAGTATTCAAGAATTAGGCCATGTTAAGTTATATTGTATTTCTTAACCAAATCAAGTCTTATTGAAATGAGTTTAACATATTTGAAATGAGTTTAACATCTATCAAAATAACATGGATTACCTGATAACTTTTAAAACAATATTGCCAAACTATGGGCCCAGTTGTCTCTTTTTTAATGTTTACCTTTGTCACGTGTGTCCATTTGTGTAGTTAAATTTTCTCTCCTTCTGCAATGTTTAAACCCACTAGGCCTACTATAGTTTTTGCCTACTCTTAACTTGTCCTACATAACTGTCTTCACGTGAACTATTTACTACTACTCCCCTACTACGTCTACTCTTATGACTACTTGACTGTACTGTACTGTCCTACATAACTGACGTGAGGACTATTTTAATACACTCCCCATAATATATCCTACTGATGACTACTTGACTGTAAATATTGAGATCTCCTTGGGACTTGGACGCAGTAGATGGAAAAAGTTTGGACTGATGACTGAGACCAAGACTGGGTTTGAAAGAAGACTCCAATAAAGTTCAAGGTCGAGGACAATTTAAGATGCATGCATCTCCTGTATCTCACGGATCCACACGTAAGTAGACCACTCTATTTTGGTGGGCGTTTATTCCTGGTCAAGAGATTACCTGCACTGGAGTGTGGAGAAACAGGGCAGGCTGTATCAACTGTGTTGAGAGCTTAAGTGGTCGCAATGTCAAATCATAGGAACAGGAATGTTTTAACAGTTTTGTTTTAAAGAGTTGTTTTTGACTAACATAACGTGACAAAGAGCAGTTAACTTGATATAGAGCAAAATGACAACCTTTCAAAGATGC